TTTCCCCTGCCAATCTTCATTCCACCAATTGCTCCACAATCACCCTCACCTATCATCTGGAGCTGGTACAATAGGCCAGAAGTGGCCGCAGTACAAGGGACTTAGTCCCACCCCACTAGCAATTAAAAAAAAAAGGTTATACAATTTACCGTCACTTCAGCATATATTCTGTATGGCACATGTATATATTACGACGTTTTAGGACCCGTGACAATAGATTTTAGGGAAGCAGGAAAAGACTAATGCAAAAAATCCAACTGTAATAATTGAATATAATTTTCTTGCTGAGTTTCTCAATTTTTAGAGGAATTAGAAGTGATGTTTGTCTAAGCGCTTCTTCCCAGAAAGTTACGAGAGTGTACAACAGTTACAAATAGTGTACTAATGCACTGAAGTTATCTATTTGTAAGTCTATTGCAGTAACGTCATCTTGTTGTCTCATTTTTTTTTTTTTTTTTAGACTCCCATATTTATTATGCAATCTGAGTTAATACATTTAGCATAATGATGTGAAAGGGAAAGAAAAAGAACGTGTAGAATACCGCTCATTAGCGGTGCTCCTTGTGCAGTAGATAAAGTCTGGTATGATTTGTGGGAGAATACTTACAAACTAGGGACTTAAGATCTAAATAATAATACTACATTATACAAGAAATCTGTTTGGGAGATCATGTGGAAGATGTCTTCTCAGTCTGCGGAGAGGCGGGGGTGCAGAGAGTTGAGACACTTCTTGGTTAATGTGCATGTTGAGCCGTGATCTGTATTTCGAACTTAGTCGACTGATTTCTTCTTGAACTGTAGGTATTTGTAGATCGTGTCTGATGATGGCATTGGGGACATACCAAGGGGCGTCCGTTAGCAGACGCAGAGCTTTAGACTGAAATCGCTCAAAGATGGCAATGTTGGTGTTCGAAGCAGAGCCCCATAGTTGAATGCCATATGTCCACACAGGTTTGATGATGATTTTGTAAATGAGGAGCTTGTTGTTTAGAGTTAGTTTAGATCTTCGTCCAAGTAGCCAGTGTAGTTTGGTGAGTAGGATGCCCAGATGTTTTCGTTTGTTGAAGATATGTTTTTTCCACGTGAGGCGGCGGTCAAGATGGAATCCAAGGTACTTGACTTCAGTTGTTTGGGGGAGAGGCTCATTGCAGAGGTAGACAGGAGGGCACGTAGCTTTGCGGTTGGAAAATGTGACGTGATAGGATTTAGTTTCATTTGCTTTTAGTCGCCAAAGTGAGAGCCAGCTTTCTATGGAATTGAGATTGTTTTGAAGTTTGAGGGATGCAGTGACTGGATTAGGGTCGGAGGCTAATATAGCTGTGTCATCAGCAAAGGTGGCAGTAGTTGTGTAGGGGGAAGTTGGGAGGTCATTGGTGTAGAGGAGATAAAGGAGGGGGCCTGTTGTCTCATTACGGCTTATATTCGTGGAAGATATCCATTTGGCTTTCTTGAAACACAAAGCCAGTTCGATAGAACAAGGAAAGGTTACTCAAGTAATGGATAAACCGGTGGAACCCAGTTCCAAGCGCGGACATGTGAGCAACTGTCCAGATAAAGGCCTGCAACATTGTGGTCACCCATCAAGAGTATCTTACAGACTTATGAAACAAGCTTCTCACTCCTTAACTTTAACGGAAGAAAATGGGCTATGGAATGACAGCCTTTTTTTCGGTGTTATCCAATTGCATACAATGTCTTCACGGTTCTTTACTTAGTATTAAAAGTAAATGAGTGTTACTTATCTGTCAGTCAGAAATAGGGGATGTAGTACTAGGAGAAAGAGTCAGTAAATACGAAAGAAATGAATATAAAACCTAAAATATGTGATATTCGAAACTGGAAATAGGAACGTTTACATCTTGACATATCCCCCATCAACATTGGTACACTTGTCCCATTGCTTTACCAGTACGTCGAAACCCGCAGCATACACGTCTTTTGACTATTGAAACCAGCCTCTGAACATGCGCATGCGCTTCTGCTACCTAGACTCTCCAGGAGCTGTACTGTGCTGTTACGTAATGATGCACATCGAGAACTTATTACGTCCTTTACTTCCATTTGTGACCTATTTAATGGCTCTCCGTCGTAAATAGTAATCCTTAAAAGAAACGTTAAATCGTAATAGAATATTTTAGATAAGTCATTACATTACAGTATCAATCCTTATTCTACATGACTAATTCATTTGGCTCGATAGTCATGAAGGCTGAATTTTATGTCATGCTAGGCAATGGTTCTTCTGAAACTAGTGTTGTTAGATAAATAGAAGAGTAAACTAAAGAGTCGTTCTGCAATTAATGGGATTAACGACGGAAGTAGGGTAACCAGTCAGGCACCAACTGAAACAAGCATAAAACGTAGATAAGATGTAAAACTTGCAAAGGAACACAGTATATTCAGCTCCGGATTATCTCACGAAAATACAGTAATACTGCTTAGAAAGCGTGGGGATTACGAACGAGTATTCACGGTTTATTCTGAAATAATTACAATCTGTAATCCGTTTCAGCCCAGATATGGTACAGATTATTTCATTTGAAATAGGCCTATATATGTATAACACCGCTTTACGGTTTAATGTTTTTGTGTCATTGTTTATGCGTTATTTACTCCAATGCGTAAAGGGAAACAATGTTTGTCCTCAGTCAGTGTGAATACAAAGTGAAATAATATTAAAAAGGAACATGCCTATATTTTAATTCTCAGGATAAGATTTTCATAACATTAAATCAAAGTCGCCATAAATGATAAAATGTTCGGAATAATAACACATGCGGAAATGCCTAGTACACTGACGTACACGTTTCCGGTATTTTTTCCCCCCTTTGTCTGACCAGTCACGCGGTGGCGAAACTGATTGGGTACATTCACTTTCTGCTGTTTGAATGCATTAATCAACGGCGACCTTCCGATAGTCTGACCACAGGGACAGGATGTGGCGTTCTACATGTCTCTGGTACTGACCTTGTTCTTCCTTTTCCTTTTTCTTCCCCGAGGACAGCCCCAATGTCCAGTGCTTAGGGAAAACAGGAGGTTGAATGATTTGAAAGTTACTTCTTGACGCTGTTTCAACACCATAGATTATACAGCGTCAAATTAAACGGGGGAAGGTTGCAAAATGGTGAGTAAATAAGCACGATTCTGTAACGCGAGTCGTTGAGTAACACTGAGGCAAATATTTTCATTCATAAACTTCAATCTAAACACGATTTTCACAGACCAATCAATCATGCTCGGCTACGGCGGTCACCTTAAAATATACTACTTGTAAATACATATTTTTAGATGTTAATACTAATATTTTTTCGTCTGTGAAAGAATATGGAAAAATTGTGTTGTCAGAAGGATTGTGTGACTGGGAAAAGAATGCGACCGTTTCGGGATCAGGTGCAATGCCCCAGTTTGATATTGCAGGTGCTGAACTTTCGGATTAAATTACTACAGAGTTTGTTAGTTCATTTTGGTACTTGTAACTACCAAAGAAGCCGGTCACGGTAATCGAGCGGTCTAAGGCATGTTCTGTCTTCGCTCGCTCGGAAGTCGGGATCGTGGATTCGAATTCCACATAAGGCATGGATGTTTGTTGTGTGTATATGTTCATTCTGTGTTTAGGTAGAAGCCTTGCGACTAGCTGATCACTCGTCCAAGGAGTCCTACCGTCTGTAAAATGATCATGAGACTGAAAATCAGAGGCCAAGGCCCAAGGGGGCTGTAGAGCCAGTGAAAAAGAAACTGTCGAAGAAAGTTACCGGTTAATAATAATTTATAACAGGTGTAACTAGACGTAGGTGCAATGGATTTGGCTAACTTTTAAATTTCCAATAGGTCATAATTAGGCTTATATGTCTTTCGTCACTAAATAATGAAATTTACCTATGAGAGATAAAGATGGCATTTGAGTCCGAATAAACACTTTATTATCTCCTACTTGTGAGCTTTGTTTGCTAGCAGAATGTTACACACACACACACACACACATTCTTTAGTACGTTGTGTAAGAAAGCTAATAGGGTTTCACATACAATTGTTTCATTTGGTGGGAAAAATGTCAGAACCCTTATATTATATCGTATGTATGTAAGTAATGATTATCTCTTATTATGTGTTATATAAACAGAATAAACGCCAAGTTGGAAAATATACAAGGTCAAAATCTTACAAATGAAAATGAAATAAGGAAACAACACCGATTAACCTCCATTTTGTTACATATAAGCTTATAATGGATCTAAAGCGGTAGAGTCGACAGTCTTCCCTATCCGGTTAAGATTTTAAGGACTTGAGTCATGAAATATTGACGTTTCCTCCGGAAACATCTTTCAGACTGGGAAGCACTTACTATCAAGTTCGCCCTTCCGTGTTACGCGGTTCTTGGTTTCCAAACCTGACACTTAGGTTTCGTCTCGGCGCATTCTCCCAGAGATACCCGAAGCCGCCGGTCAAACCTCGCAACAGAGAGGTTCAAGTAAGCATAGGGAAATCAGCTGGGATTCACTGTGACCTTATGGCCTACTGCGAAACTAGTGGCCGCGCCATAGCTCAAGCGGTTAGTTGCTGGCTTCCCACCACGGCAGCCCGGGATCGATCCCGGGTCTGGTAAAGTGGGATTCGTGGTGGACAAGGTGGCGCTGGGCAGGTTTTCTCCGAGTACTTCGGTTTCCCCTGCCAATCTCCATTCCACCAAATTCTCCATCATCGTAATCACCCGGGGAGGTACAATAAGTACGTCGTTAAAATCGGCCTCCTATACAACGGGCACCAGAGGCTTTTCCCTGGGGGTAAAACGGCAGAGGCGTGAAGCTAACCATTCACCTCCAATTAGTGCGGAGTTCAACAATACGTGGATCTATATATCCACTTGTCCATACGTCTTCATGGTGTAGTGCTTAATTAAACACAGGAACAACTTTACCTTTTACTCTACATTATTTAACAGGGCATCTGTACTGTACGTTCGTAATGCCTGTGAGTAATAAACTGTGTTTCTCTCTCCCCAGTGGGCAAAGCTGAGAGAGGAAAAGAAGATAATTCGGATGTGGTACAGTCCTGTATTGGTAACTTCGGACGGTGGCAGTTATGGTTATGCTTGTGGATATCCGTCCTCAAGTTCCCCGTGGCTTGGCACTCTCTAGGAATCGTGTTTTTGGCGCCCCCCGTCGACTCATGGTGCAGAAGGCCCACAGCCTTGCAGAATCTGACAGATGAGCAGTGGCGTAACATGAGCCAGCCCTCTGCAGCGTCGGGGACTCAGGATCGAGACTCATGCAGAATGTACGACGTCAATTACACCGCAGAGCCTTATAATAGGCCGCCCTCCAATCACAGCACTGTTGCGTGTGTCGACTGGGAATATGACCGGTCTGTCTTCCGAGAAACCATTGTGACCCAGGTCAGATTCTCTTCCTTACCTTGAGGTTCATTTGTAACCTACTCTTTGAGAGTGCTAAGTAGGTTTCTAGATTGCGACTCTATAATTACCAACTGTTTGAACTTAATGTATACTTTGTAAATTACTTAATGATATCTCAGTGTAAGAGTGAAGAAACGCGCATATAATGAACGCGGCACTCACGAATACCGTGTCAGTCTCCTGCTCTTTTATGGTGCGAAATGTGCCCAATTGTATGTTAATTAAAATTTACCTAATGAACAACCATTCAACGTAAATATTTCATCACAAACGAGTATGTGAGGAAGATAGGAAGAAGGTAACAAACAAAGCGAGAAATAAAGGAGGAAAAATAGCACGAAATCAAGAAATAATAAAAAAAATGGACGGCTGAAGGAAGTGGGGATGGAAGTTGGCAAAGGTAAGGTTCCTGTATTTAATCATTTGAGCACAACCTAATGAAGACATGCTGGGGAGTGGAGGTATAGTTTCGCCGTTCTTGACCTCGGCACCAGATGGAGGTAATTGGTCAGCTTCACGTTCCGGCCGCTTTACTCCTCGGTAAAGAACCTCCATTGACCATTGTGTAGGAGGTTGTGTGGGCCCCAGAGCCGTTCTGGACACTCTGAAGGAGAGGTAAATCTCTTATACATGCCGGGAGTGTGTAGTGTATTTAACAAAGTTTTAGACAGGGACTATAAGAATGTTACTTAGCAAATGTCACTATTCCCATTCTTACGTGCAACGCATCCTTCTAAAACTTAATTTAAAAGTATCTTACATCACACAATGTATCTCTTTAAAAAATATTTAGAAGTTTCTGTACATTGCACTATATATTTCGACCGACATTTGTAATCATCAGGGGTTTTAAAATTGTTGGTGCAAACTGATGTGCTTCTGTTTTGTGATTCTAATATTCGATATATAGTCCCATTTACGTGTTCGTGTATATCTTGGTGCTGGGTGGCTCTTTCTATTGTGTTGTGTATGAAAGAAAAAAAAAACACGAAACCAAGAAAACATTTAATTTCTAATAAAACAATTCTCGCTCGATTATAAACTTTTAACATTCCTACCTGGTCAGACTTCTTGTGCATATGGCAGCTTGTCTTGGGACGCTGAAGTGTACTTCCCAATTTCATGTTAAGTTTCTTTTACATCATGAATTGCTCGATTACCTTATGTAAGTCTAGGAGTATTATTTTTTTAAATTAAATGATCTTGAAATAAGTTAATAGATCCTAACTATAAATCCATAAAAATTCTTCACAGTTGACAACGCAATTTGTTCTGATGCATTTGTGAAGAGCCGGTGTAGCTCAGTCAGTAAGGACAGTCGTTACAGCCTGGAGGAGAGAGACTTCTCTCTCCTGCCGCTGCGCTCAGGTCAGTTCAAAGGCCTATACAATATCCTATCCCTCGCTTCTTGGGTTAAAGCTGCCGGGGCGTGAAACTGTTCACTTATTTCCAGTTATTGCTTCGTACTCATGCTCCCTTGCCATTGTGTTGCAGTGGGACCTGGTCTGTGATCGGAGGCAGCTCGCAAATGTTGCCCAGACCGTGTTCATGTTCGGCATCCTAGTGGGAAACGTTCTGTTTGGAATGGTGGCTGACAGGTAAACGTAGCTATCACATTCTGAGAAACAACTTGTAGCAAATAAAAAAGGTTAAAAAGTAAAGCTATCCATGTAACAGGTAACAGCTATCCATGTAACCATAGGGTTGTGAGACATCGAGACTCCCACATTTTCTAGACAATCAGCTCAAAGATGACGGTAAGGTTGTCAGCCCTACGCGTCGGCCGCCCTTTAC